ACCGGAATTTGACTGATAGGATGGATTTGAGAAGATGCTGCAGCTGCGGAAGTGCAGAGCGAGAACGTCGTCGACATCTTGGCTGGTTGTGGTTGCGGGGGGTGTTTGGAAACTCTTCACTCGGTAGTGGCGCGCAGGTCTTGAGGGATCCACAATAGTACAGGAAGTGCGTCGCGATGAGGGCTTTGAGCCATGGCCACGGCTCTTTGATCTGCTGTTTGAGTTTTCTGATGATGTGGTGGACTGTTGTCGTAATGGTCGTGAGCGCTGCTCTGATACTGGTCGTCGTGGCTCCATGTCTGCAACCTGGAGAGGAGCGATCGATTCGACTTTATTTCTGCGATGTTTGCTATGCCGGATGGTATTGTTGTTGCACAGTGGTTCTTGGCTGGGTATCTTAGGGAGATAGGAACCCGCAACACTATCAATTCGATTCATCGCCGATCTATCAAAGATCGAGAACGGGGAGTGACGTAGATGTGAGGTGTCTTAAAGGATATTGAATCGGTAATATTGTCTTAGTGGTGAATAATTTCGGTACTCGTCTAGGTCGGATATCAGTATCGGAATAGGAAGGTTCTGTGCTCAAGGGGTAAAAGCCCATACCAGCAGCCAGTGCCAACACCGAAACACACAGATTTGGATTCCTCGCGCGTACGGCACACACAAGCGGTATAAGAGAATGAAATCTGGAATCACAGGCGGGCTATGTGACGCCAGTAATTGTTGGGTCAGTCAAGTGACGAACCGCGGGACCCGCCTGGAGGACTATTGAATCAACCGCGGTCAGTAGGAGGGAAACTAGAGCCTAGTATATAAAGAAGAGATCAAAACGTCCCAAATGTCGATCTTGGCCGTTGGTTGGCCCAGACCCTGCCAGCATGCAGCGAGACGCACGGCATGCACGATCTCTTGACGAGTTTGAGCCGAGCGCGTGGGCACCTCTACGAAAAGGGTTGGGAGTTCACCGCCTCCCAGGACTCGATTTCCGGGGCCTGAATAGACTAGGCGCGTGAAAAGACTAGCGGCGCGATTAAACTGGAGAAGGATTTCGCTAGCTTCCGTGCGTTCGAGACGGAGCATGACAGATGCACTAAATATGTCACAATCAGAGTCGCACATGGGGGGCAGAGGACGAAACATTCAAGTATGATGTCGTCGGCTTTCACATGCCAGCGATGATGTGGTAGCGCGTGAGAGGCCACACACACAGCTTCGGACGCTGATCACTTCGGGTTGGCTCGTGATAAGGGAAGGAGGGCGCGAGGCCATGTCGAATAGACGCGAGTGGCAGCCTCGTCTACCGACAAGTCGATCCGGCACAACCTTGGGAGTGCAGCACGGACGGCGGGAAGGACCGAATCAAATCAAAGAACGACAGGCCAGCGACATCGGGCCAAGATGACCCACGCTCGACTCAGGCAAGCGCACGCGGAAATGTCGAGCCTGAAAAGCAAAGGATGCCAGATGAAGCGCTGCGCATGGCGTCGTGGGCATTGCTGAGAGGGGCGTCAGGGAAGATTACACCAAACCGCTGCGGCGGGTACCGGCGCAGAACCCTGAACCACCACCCTAAAATACATCCATTTCTCCCACAGCCCTTTCTTACACGAATGAGAGGCAGTAAAAGTCTTTGCTCCCACATGTACGTCTTGTGGGCGCGCGGCCCGCTGCCTTACTGCTTACAGTTATCCGCTGCAAACGCTCTTTGGAGGGTGGAACCCATGCGCCAAGGCCACATCCAATGCAGATGATGCAGCTGATCGGGCCAGGGACGCCGCCAATGGCTATGTCATGCGGCAGCACAACACCACCAATGGCGTCCTACTCGCACGCGGAGATGAGTCTGCATTGCAGCTTTTTTGTCGCTAAGCTAGTCATCGCAAGGGTCGTCTGGAAGATCGGCTCGCACGTGGTATCCTCACGAACCCCTCTTTCACTCCACCACGCAGGCACAATGCGCACACTGCGAACTCCGTGCGAAGCATCACAGAAAGGCGGTATGACTTGGCAGGTACACTCCTGCCTTTTGACTCGCAGTAAGAGGGCCTGTGCGATGAAACGAACGCAGAACTTCTCCACTACCCTACAGTTCCGTGAGTGCGTGCCCCGTTCCGCGGGTCGTTCGGAAATAACCAGTACGAATTGCCTATAGCATCTCGTCGTAAAACCCCTCAATGAATTCCGCAACTTCGTCAAAAGACTCAAGACAGTGCCAGTGCCCAACTCCTTCCATAACGGCCAGTCTCTTCTCGCTGCTGCCAATCTCCTCGAACATCTTCTTGCACCCTTCAAGCGGTGCGCTCTTGTCCTCCTCACCAGCGAGGATGAGTACGGGCACGCTGATCTTGCTGTACTGAGGCGGCTTTGCATTGATAATGACTCGACAGTTGGAAATATAACCCGCTGGATCCTGTGATAGCAATAACTCGCGGATCATCGCTTTGACCAGTGGAGACGCGTTCTTTCCGACTGCAGCATGTGGGATGCTGTCTGCCATGGGCTGCATACCGTCTTTTGCAACGGTTTCTATCCGTTCGTGGAAGCGGGGGCCTGCCTCAGGGTTGGGATATACAGGGCCGATCAGAATAGCTGCTACAATGCGGTCACTTCGCTCAGCCGCAAGGTGTGCGCCGACGATGCTAGAGACGTGTCAGTTGTCGTGTTCAGTGCAGTCGCGTCTTCCAATGCTTCTTTCTGCCCGAGAGGTTGCTGACGTACCCTCCCATGCTGTGCCCAACGAACACAGCCTTGTCGACGTTCAGCGCGTCCAGAATCCCAATCACATCTTCTCCTAGCGTCTCAATGCTCTGCTCGACAAATGTGTACATCGATCGACCAGCCCCTGTATTGTCAAAGGTAATGCAGCGGAATCCATTCGCGACCAAGCTCTGAGTTACTGGCTGATAGTAATTCTGCGAAGAGCCCAGCCCGTGCATGAAGATGAGTGTTTCGCGTGTCTTGCCATCTTGTGGTTTCAGGTCGGTGTAGTGAAAGCGTTTGTAGCCGACGTGGAGGAAGGGCATGTTGGATGGAACGTAGCCGTGTTTGTGAGTTCGTTTCACAACAGCTTGAGATGGGTGACGGGACTGGTTCCGATCGGAAGCGGAACCATGCGGATAGTGCTAATGACATCACTGGGGTACAGCAAGCACAAGAACACTGAACTTCGTCGCATCTGCACAAATTTACGTTTCTCTAACCCGAAAGCCATGATTGGTTACCGATGTAGTATATCTGAATGTATGATAGCCATAGCATTTACGGAATCCAACCAAGTAATGAACAGACACCTCTCAACTGTCACTCGACCCATCTGTAATGATCTTCACCTGATACCACTCATGTATCGCCTGCTTGCACTCCTCTCTCAATCTCGCGATTGCTGGCGCATCATCCTTTGCCAATAACGTCGATAGTAGTTGCGCCAACCCCTCTCTCGTAGTAACCTCCTTCAACGCGTCTAAGCCAGGATCCTCGTTCGCCGTTTCCGCGATGCTTAGCATCCTACTCGCATCGCTCTTCGCCCGCGACCTCCTTCGCCTGCCAAAAATTGAGAACACGCTTCGTGACTGGGTCTGTTGCTCCTGCCCACTGGCATCCCACAGCGCGACTCGGCTGATGAAATGCTTTATCGCCGCTTCTTCGAAGCTCTCTCTTCGTCTCTCAATCGCCTTGTCAAATTCCGGATCGAGCGTGTAGCTGTCGTGGTCCCATCTGTAAAGCAGGTAGCGGAAAGTGCGCACTTCAGCATCGGGTATAGATAGGTCGCCGAAGTCTGTTGTGAAAGGGTCGTAGGAGATCGAGGAAGATGATGAAGTCGGTCGTTCGCTGGTGGTACTCGTTGGTGTTGCGACGTGGCCGTATTTCAGTTCGAGAGCGTGGTGTGTATCTATGACCTTTTGGAGAGCAACCTTGCGTTTTTGGAGTACAGCGTCGGTGCCTTCGAAGAGGTGTGGAGAGGATGGTTTGCTGGACAGGTGGCTTCTGCTGCGATGGAGGCCGAAGGTGTGATGCCGCTTGAATTCTAGAGATGGTCGTGTCATCGTGTTTGTGTCCATATTCAACCCAGTTGTCTTTTCGTGGAGTAGTCAAGATGAGGATTAGTCTAAATAGAACAATAGAGGTGTGATCAAGCGTATCGTTGTGAATATTCAGTTCCTAGAGCATACGTATGGTGAAAGAAGTGAAACCCATGAAAGAGAAAAAACCAGAAACCAGGAAGAAAGGCCACAGACTCAACCCTCTGCCAACAAACTCAACCGTGGATGCCGGCTAACCCAGACGCCCACGCCCAATTGACGCACATCCCGTTAGCCGAGAAGGGGGAAGGGGGTGACGCAAGCCCTTTTCTGACATGCAGATCTGCGAGGGCAGACTCATCCTCACCACCGGTGTTGTATAAGGTGTAAAGTTGTGTCGCGGGACGCTGACTCTAGTGACGATCTATTGGCAGCGACTGTGCCACTGCTTTGTTGAGCCACTTCATGAGCCACTTCGTGGTTCAGTCACTGCGCCGCAGGGTGCGCGGCATTTTTCGGCGTTAATTAAAGTGGGGACGGCGACACGCTGGCGAGGGTGCTGACGCCAAGTCGTGCTTTGGCCGATGATCCGGCGAGCACAGTGATGCCGTGAGGTTGCTCGTGCTGCGAGCTTACGCGTCGAAATGTCTGTTCTGAGAGTGTGCGTGCTGGGCCGTCATTGCATCGTATTGCAACCCCGCACGGTGAAGCTTTGGCAGGAAGAAGGTTGAGTCAACATGATGAACAGAACGAACGGGTATGTATTCACGCGCACTACAAAGAATATTCGATCATCCAGCGCTGCCGGCGAGAATGCTACGATTTACCTGGAACATGAAGGAAGTCCCCTATGATTTCCTTCAGTGAGCGTAACGCCATGCAATGCAAGAACGACCGGCCTCTAACAACGCGAACGGGAATTCGGAAAGCAGCAAAACATCCACCCGTCAATCCTTAAATTGGCCAAGAAAATGCGGTTTACTCGGAAGGCGGTACAGGCTCCGTCTTGCCGTTGGGTAATATGTGTTGGGTGGTGCTCATACGAACACTGGACGGCCTTTCCAGCTTCGTCCCGTGTTCTGCAGCATTTCCATGCTGCACGTCTTTCTCGAGATCCCTGTGTCCACTCGTGACATCAGGCAGCGCTTCAGCTTCGTTCAATGCTTGTTTGACCAACTTTTTCGCCTCGATCGCAAGATTGGGGATTTCTTCCACCTCCTTGTTCTTGTTCAGGTATGAGTCCAGTAGCGCTTTGAGCGTCTGCGCGCGAACCGGTTTCGCGAGGTAATTGTTCATGCCTACTAGGTCAGCACATGTTTTAAACGTAGATTAAGCTGCCAAAACTTACCGGATTCCAGGCACTTCTCGCGGTCTCCTTGAATAGCGGAAGCGGTCATGGCAATGATGAGTACATTTCGAATCTCGGGATTGGGATGCTTGCGAATCAGTTTCGTAGCTATACATGGTCAGTATTCATGTGCTAGTTGAGGCGCGGGTAGCAATCCTTACCTTCGTAGCCATCACAATGCGGCATTTGCACATCCATGAGAATAAGATGGAAGGGGCGACCATTCTCCGAAGCACGCTCAAGAGCGTCGATAGTCTTGTATCCGTCGAGATAAGCGTCGCATTTGAAGCCAAGCTTTTGCACGAAGCTGATTGCGATGCGCTGGTTGATCAAGTTGTCTTCTGCGATGCAGACCCGTAGTTCTCGTCTGGGTATCGTGGAAAGATCGATGCAGGAACCCGACAGTTGCTCATGGCCGTTATTCTCCTGGCTTGAGAACCTAGCCATAGGGTCTGGCTCTCGTGTCCTTTGCTGCTGACTGCCTGCTTGCGCTTTCGGCACTTTCTTGAATCGCAACGAAAAGGTGACCGTTGTACCTTGGCCTGGCTGGCTGTCGAGACGTACTGTACCATGCATAACGTTCTCTATGAGGGCTTTGCAAATACTCAGACCAAGGCCAGTGCCACCGTAGCTCCTAGCAGAGCTGGACTCTATCTGCGAGAAAGGAAGGAACAATTTTTGCTTCTGTTCGTCTGGAATACCAATGCCAGTATCGATAACGCTGCATGTCACATCTGCCCAGTCGTCTGTCTCTTGGTCAACAACAGCGCGGACAGTGACAGATCCTCGTGGCGTGAACTTGTAGCTGTTGGACAGCAAGTTCATGAGAATCTGATGCAGTCGGACAGGGTCGCCCATAACGAGCATCTCTGGATCCAGATGCAATTGCTCAATGGTTTTGAGGCCTCTTTCGGCGTTCGTGTAGGCCAAAGCGCGGACTACTTCCGCAATTGTTTCGCTCAATGAAATGGGCATCTCCAAGACATTCATCTTGCCAGCCTCGAGCTTGGAGTAATCCAGAAGGTCGTTAATGATCGAGAGCAGCGTATCGGCGCAGACACGAATTGAATCGGCGTATCCAGTTTGTTCCGAGTTTAGCGGTGAAGCCTTCAACAGCTCAGACATACCAATCACGCCGTTCAAGGGAGTACGCAACTCGTGCGACACGTTGGCCAGGAACAAACTCTTTGCCTTCGCGGCTTCTTCTTTCAGCTTCATGTTACGCACAGCTATGGCTTCAGCCTCTTTCGCCTTGATCTCTGCTGCCCGCGCCTGTGACAAAGCGCGTTTCTGCATTTCAAGCATGGCTTCGTTGCTTGCGGATACTCTTTCCACCTCTTTGAAAAGCAGTGCATTGGCTAAGGAGATGGAAATTTGATTCACCAGTAACCGAAGCACCTGGGTGTTACGTTCGGTAAACGAATTCGGCGGGCCCTCGACGTATATTGAACCAAGAAGGTGATCGCTGTGCAGAATCGGGATGCAGATGACTGCTTTCCCCTCGGGGTTCCGTTGAAGGTAGGCGTCAGAAACATTGGAGAAGCGGTCGTCTTCTAGTAGGTTCTGGACGAAGACTATCTCTCGGAAGCGGAGTGTGTAGAGCGTCACTTGCCGCGCAACAACATCGTCCACAGTATCTAAAGGTTGACTGGCAGGGAAGGATGTGACGCCGGAAGAGACCCCACTGTCGTTGTCAGGCTCGTTGGTGGCAACGCATGCGATCGACCATTCGATTTGTGAGTCTTCAATCACTATGCCGCACAAGGTACCGCCCGTAGATTCAAGCAAAATGGTACTCATCTTCGCCATCAATTTATCGACGACGAGCTCGCTAGACAAGACTTGACTCGACTCCAAGATTGAGGATAGGTCTAGCATGTCCAGACCGACAGCGGAGAGACCGTTGTGTAGAGCTGGAGCAGACTCTTGGCGCCGTGTTTCCGGGACAATCCAGTTCTGTGTTCGATCGACTGCAGTCTCCGCGCCCAGAAGTTGATCATGATCATTTTGCTCCAGTCTGAAGGCCGTGTTACCCGTGTCTACGAGGGAGGTTTGTACAGCTTGGTCCACTGTCGTGAGCGAGGCGCTGCTACGCACTAGCCACTCATACCGACTCGCGAAGTGATTTGCTTTTCCGTATGCTGACATCCTCCGATATACCGAGATGCAGTCTTTCAAAGAATGTCGGGCCGCCCTGTAGGCCTTCTTGTCTACCAACCATCCGGTGTAGAGCTCGAGAGCAAACGCTTCGTCCAATGCAAATTCGTAACGTTCGCTATGCTCCATGGCAGCCTCATAATTCTCCAGCGCGGATTGCGGATCGGCATTAACATCCCCAAGGACGGCAGTGAGAAGATGTATCCAGCCCCGGTAGTTGACATCAGTGGTGGTGCAACATGTCTCGAGCAATTTGAGGGTCTCATGAACATGTTTTACCATCTCGTCTCTCCGGCTATGAGCGGACTTCTCTCGGAGAACAGCCATGTATGCCAACGATAAGTAGTATCGGACCGAGTAATTGAGTCTTTCTGACCAAAGACTGCTCAGCATCGGAAGTAGCATCTCCCCAAGAGCCACTGCATCCGAATGATGACCATAGAGTACCAACAACGGAAGTTTGGTTGCAAGATATATAGACTTGGGACGCTTCGGATTGCTGGCCGTATTTTCGAGGAACTCAATGTACTCGACCTCATTGTGATCGTGGTCCGAGAGGAGGGAAAGAGCGTTGCTTGAGTCAGTCTTTCCCTGGAGCGCTCTTGCATATTGACGAGCAGCCGTGAGGAAAACTCCTCCACGCATGTCTTTCTGCCAGTTTCGCATATCGAGCGGTGTTTCCTCAATCCAGGCCTCCAATTCTGCGACGTCGTATGAAGCCATGACCCTAAAGTGAGCCTGTACACCAAGATTTAGAAGTGTGAGGATGCGATCGCCGGCAGTTAGTGAAGCCTGCAAGGCTGCTTCTAAGCTCGGTATCAGATCGCCTACAGGCGCTTCCAAGTGACCCAGAAACATTGGCTGCAAAGTTTGACCTCTTCCCAGGGTGTAGTAGTCTTCAGGGAACTGCAGAGGTAGAGGTATGAAGTCAGTATATGTCTCACGTGCACTTCTTATAGCCAGAACTTACCATCTGAAAGATTCGCTTTGCAATCGCACCCATGTCGACTGCGAAATTCGTCATTCCGAAACGACCGCCCGCAACAGTGCCCAGATGCACGTATGCAAGGGCAACCTGTGACATGGTACCCTTTTCGAGATGGACGGTGATAAGCTTCAGCGTCGCCTGATAGAAAAGCAGGCTGTTCGACCAGAACGCCGCACTAAGGAGTTCGATGAAGACAGGCCCAATAGTCATCAGGACACGGTCGTCGGGAGACGGACGCCGCTTGAGCAGTTCTTCCTTATCGATGTTCTGAAGCGTGCCATATATCTGCTGAAACTGAGCATCGCACGCCTCCCATGTTGTCGGAGGAATAGGGGAATTGAGCAAAGACAAACAGTCTTTGAGAGCCTGGAACGCACTATAGATGGTGATGTCGTTAGCTAACCGTCGCGATAGTTGCAGTGATGAAAGGTGGCAGGTACACATGCAAGTTCTCAAAGGTCATGCTATCTTGCAAGCGTGCAACCCGCTCCAGGCGCGAGCACGGAAGGGAGGTGGAACATTACTTACCCGAAACTGTCGCCGCGAATAGCAAACACCCTAGATTGTAGAATGAACGAACTGGCCATATCGCAGGGATCGCGGGCATGCTGGAAGGTCGTCCGGATCAAGCTAAGAGCCTCATCGAACATGCCCTGGTGCCAATAGCATTCTGCCGAGCGCACAAAGAGCTGCAACGTCTCTTGGTAGGATACGTCCGGCCTATTGTCGTCCCATGGATCGTCTTGCAGAAGCATGAGGCTGTGCGCGAAGTAGTAGATGCCAGTTGATCGCGCGCCCGACTCGCATGCAGTTTCTCCAGCTTGATACAGCATATCACGGAATGGAGCTCGCACTGTTTCCTTGGTCTTGATCAGTTCTGCAGCGAGACAGATGTGACGACTCTGCATGTACAAAGCCTTGGAGCCTGACGTTGAGTCGTCGTTGTACTCCTCGCCGGAAGTTATCATCTTGGCAATGGTGAAGTGCATCAACTGCGTATCCCATTCCTTGTCGAGGGAATTCACAGCCGCTGTAAGGTACCGATCGTGACTGAATCTGAATCGAGCATCTTGCTCAGCAGGCATGAGTACGTAGGCTTTCAGTGCTGCATCGAGAGCTGTGACGGCACACTCGTCTCTCTCGAATAGTGGTAGCCTCCCATGAGCTGCGGGCTTGTTCGCAGGCTGAAGGAGCTTCTTCAGAAGTTCGAACGAGAACGTGCCACCCAGGAGGGATGCCCACGCCAAGAGCTTCCTACTGGAAGATGGTAATTCTGTCAACCGCTTTGTTATAAAGTCAGTCGTAACGGATGATCCATACTCTGGACTCTCGAAAACGGCGAAGACTTTGTCTAGGTCGAAAACCCAGGTGTTCTCGCGCCACTCGTAGTACACGCAGCGTTTCCGATAGCAAGTGTCCAGTATCTCGCGTATATAGAAGAGGTTACCTCGAGACTTTTCCTGAATTACCGCTACTAGAGGAAGGATATACTGATGGTCCCGATGGAGCGTCTCAGCCACGTAGTCGGCCGTCTGGGCCTCTACAAAAGGAAGAAGCTGTACTCTGGTAGCGTGACGCAGTAGTGGGGTGAGTTCTCGGGGTAGGGTCTCTTCGTCGCTGTACGTGAGCATAAGAACAAGCGGAATTTTGGCTTGCACGATGTGATGAATCAGCTCAGCGCTTTCGGGATCAGCATACTGGACATCTTCCAAACTCCATGTGCAGAGCTTGTGCATTGCCAGCAGTCGTAGAACATCTATGAAGACATTCATGAATCTGGAAGATTTCGAAGCACCTCCGCTTCGTAGCCAAGCCTCGGCAGTATGTCCAGCTGATCCGCAGTGAACGGCAGGAGATGATGCCCGTCGAGTCAAGTCCTTAGTGGGCTCCATGTCCTTCTGTTGCGGACTCTTTCCGTTCGTGTTCAAGAGCCATTCCGGTAGATCAAGGTAGGTTCGTAACACCGCCCAAACTCCACTGTTCCTGAGGTAATGGCGCAATCTCTGGTGAAATTCCGTCGTTACGTCCGCCTCGCTGACTAGACGGAGAGATGTAAGTTAGTAGCTGCAGAATGGGAACAGGAATGTCTAAGATGACTGTACATACTGGCTTACGTTAGCACAATTGCGAGCATTGAGAGTAGTCCTCAAAGAGACTTACCATATTTGGCGGAAGAAAGAAGACATCAGCCGAAGAATGGGGTCAAATGGTGCTTTCTTGGCGGGATCAAATTTAGCCATAGCGAAGTAGCCAGTGCTCCTTGCTGTGCTCTGTACGCTCTGCACGAGACGAGATTTACCCAATCCGGTGGCACCGGCGATGGCTATCACCTCACATCGCGCCTTGCGCCTTAGTTTTCGCGTGCTGGCTAGAGTTCTTAGGCCATCGTTGGATTGGTGGCTGCGAGAATAGATTCCGGTGCTCTCAATGCTATTGTTGGAACGGCCGCGGCTCGCGGATTGCAGTTGGGGCCGACTGTCCACACTTCCCTCAGCCGTTGATGATTCTGATTGTGCCACACTATCCTGGGAGCCCTGTTGCATCGACCGAGCGCTTTCCATGAATACAGGGCCATCTGCCGAAACGCTGTTGAGCCTGCTGTCGGAGCCTCTGGAGCTAGTGCTTTCGGAAATGATGTCGTCAAACTGCAGGTCTCGTCGTTGATCTGAAAAGGAGGAACCTGAGCTCAGGCTCTGCAACGCCTTGACGTTAGTCCGACGCTGCCTCGCTACGCGCTCTATCACGTCTACTATAGTCTTGCGTTCTTTCTCACGCCCGATTAGTTTGAGGGGCAAGTTGAAGAAGCAACTGATGTCCTTGGTGCCTACATGGAAGGCCTTCAATCCTTCTACATCTCCATCGTAAAGAAGCTCGCGGATACGAAAGAGATCGAATTTCAAGCCTGAAGTAGAGTGGTATCTCTCCTCAATATTGCGCTGCGTCATACGTTGGATGATCTCGGACAAAGCCTCTGGGATATCTAGTCGTCTGGAAGAAATTGGAGGAATTCGCTTGCTGATGACGTTCTGCATGACATCGAGAGCCGTAGCGCCTTCGAATGGCGTCTGACCGCAGAGCATCGTGTAGAAGAGAATACCAAGACTATAGATGTCGGTTCTTGTGTCGGGTTCAGCGGGCATTCTACCAGTCTGTTCAGGGGATATGAAGGCCAACTTCAATTCGATGCCAGTCTCTTTTGACAGGGTACTCCAACCCGCGCTTGTCAGTCCGTTCTCGAAAGATCGTGCGCCGGATCCAAAATTGATCATCTTGACTGTCCCGTTCTCAGCGAAATGGAAGGCATCGCCCCGAATCTCGCCATGGACGATTTCGTGACCGTGATGCAATATTTCCAGACACTCGACTGATCCGACGGCAAAGTCGAGGAAGGTGAGGAGAGGTATCCCCTTGTTGGGCAATGAAGTATCTGATTGACCGCTCTGTCCATGACTGCCAACCTTCCAGAAATTGGGGCCGAAGTTGACCAAGTCGTTGAGGTAGTTGGGCCCTGGGGCTTCGAATATACTGGCGACAAGAGGCTCCTCACCGGCTTTGGTGGATAGCCTCACAAACTCTATGGGGCGAACAAAGTGCTTGCACTCTGGATCCGACTCCTTGACGACGAGTTTGGCGAGCTGGAACTCGCGTTCGAGGCGCAGAGTCTGCTGCGAGACACGGCATACGACGGTCCGGCCTTCTCTCGCCACACCTTTGGCGGTGGTGTTGGTGCGATGTGTTTGTACGGTGGAGGCGCTCGCATCTGAGCCCGAACTGCGGTGAGTGCGTGTTATGGTTGGGCGGCTTCGGGTCAGGGAGTCGGGCGAATGCGACAGCTTGAGAGAGGTGGGGGAGGTTACGGCGCTCCTTCCTCTTGACACAGGGCGATCCTGCCGGGGCGCTTGCTTCTCGTAACCGAAGAAATGCCAGTTATCATACGACTACTCGACGTTAGCATGGTGCAGCGACAACCTGGGCTATGCGACGCCTCTTACTGAGTGGAAGGGCTCAATGTCCGTGTCCCAGCCATAGTTCTGCAGCTCCTGCAGACGCGCAAAGATGTGCGAGAAGTGCTGCGTGCGCCCGCCTCCTTCCGATCGAGTCATTGTGTCTTTCCGATGTTCGCAACCGCCAGGGATCTAAGACATGCTCTGGGTGGGATGTAGAGAATCAATGTGTAGGGTAAAGTCGCCAGGCGCTCGATCTATCCATCACAGCATCAGCGGGGCGCGACTGCCATGTCAAGAGCGCGGTCGTCGGGAGTGCTGGGAGCGACGGGAGGGGCGTAGAGGAGAGTCCGGTAGGCTGTTGATGCCAGTGTTCTAGAGGGAGCAGACGCGCATGTGGAGTGCTTACTGATGGCATTCCAGCCACAGCAGACGGACTGCGAAGATGCGCGCTCAGACTTCGCGCTTGTTCTTAGACGTCATAATCGACATGGGCTCGCTGTAGCGGAAGTTTGCGCCCAACGCACCGCACGCAAAAGTAACGTTTCCCTGCCCAGCCCAACGCGCTCTGAAACCAAAACCAAGCATGCATCCGCCGCGAATATCAACGTGGACCATGTGTGGCTGGCAGGCAGGCGAGCACCCCCCGCGCAAGTTGGGACGGCTGTATTTGGCATAGCGGAAGATCGGCCTGGCGCGTTAGCCCTCGGGCTGGAGCCGTTGGTAGCGACATCATCGTGGTTCAGGGCCAGTAGTGCCGTCTGCATCATCTGCATACCGACGCTGCATTATTACCACCTCCGCCGGGCGGGTCAGCAATACGCCCAGTCGCAATTTCCCACTGCGACCGACTTTCGCCCCCATAGCACCCTCTGCCTGCCCGCCACTGCTAGACTGAAGCTGCCCCACCACAGGCGACCGGGCATCCCTCGACATTTGACACATGCATCTTCCGCAGAGGTAGCCGCTGTCATAGCAAACACCATCCTTCCACATCCACCCTATTCAATGTCACACAATGGACTCGCCCGACCACGAGCATGCCTATTCAGGCGACCTTGGGGAACCTATGAGGCCACGACAACTCCCCTCGGACCTGCCCACTTCCCTCAATGACAGGCGACCTGTCACCATCATGAACGAGGAAACCGAGATCTACGACGCCTGGCAGGGTAAGTGTCGGATAGGGAAGGCGCGATGAACCATGAGGAACTGACGTCGCATAGGGCAGTCGCAATTTCTCACCACCCCCATGCCCGCCCGCCCGCTCAGTTTCAATCTCTCGCTCGACGACCCAACGTTTGGCGACGAGGACATGCAGCAGCTCGAGGACAGCGATAGTCGCCTAGTGCAGATGCTGGCCCACCAGGCGCGCCTCAAGAACGACAATGCAGGCGACGAGGCCAAGGTTGTCGCCGACGACAAGTTGTCACACGAGGAAAAGAAAGAGGCTTTACAGGGACTTTTCACACTGGCCGCATCGAATGGCGAGCTGGAAAGGGTAAAGCGGCTGCTGGATGGGAAAACGCGGGAATACATCAACATCAACGGCGTCGACGCCGAAGGCACGCCGCCACTCGTCTACGCAAGCTGTTTTGGACACGAGGACGTGGCAGCTACACTTCTCGAGCAGGGCGCAACTGTTGATATGCAGGACAAGAATCGCTGGACGCCGCTTATGTGGGCCATGACAAATCGGCACAAGGCCATCGTCAAACTTCTGCTCGACCACGGCGCATCGACTGATGTCAAGTCTTCTGGAGGAAGGACCGCCTTCGATTTCGTCGAGCCCAACACCGAGCTGTCCGACTATCTACACGAGAGCGGATACGCGATTGGCAACGTCGGTGTTGGCGACGACTTCTACAGCTCTGGATTCTCCCAGGACCGCTTTGAGCAAGAAATGCAGGAGAACGACTTGAAACGGCGCATGATGATGGAGAGTGCTTTCAATCTCGAGGTTGATATCGGCAACCTTGGCTTGGACGAACAGCCCGAGTCACCTGAAGAGCCAGAAGAAGAAGCGCAGGAGTTCATCTGGGACAGATGTCTCAACGACCAGATGTTTGTCTTCCAAGAAAGTGAGCTGGAACGTATACTGGACATTATCATCACAAACATGACGCCGCAGCGCTCTCCCTCACAAAAGCCAGTTCCCGCAAACATACTCTTCCTGAGTGCCCGCTACGCACACTATCATGCGAACCCGGAACTTCTCGAGACCCTGCTGGTATCTGCCATGAACAAGATAAACGACGTTGTAGAAAAGCACCAGTGGGATATGACTGTGCTGGCCTTCTGGATGTCTAATGCGACACTGCTTTTACATTACCTCAAGAAAGACGGCGGGCTCACGAGTGCGACTACTGAGTTTCAACTGCAGATGGCAGAACTTATCAATGAGATTTTCATCTTGATCATCCGTGACGCTGAGCGAAGGATGGACAAGAACTTGGACCAGGCAATGCTCGACCATGAGCCCATGCCTGGCTTCGAAGACGTACAGTTCCAACACGAATGGAAAATATTTCGATCCAAACCCAAGGCGAAGCCATTAGAACCCCTCGAGAAACGCTTCCGACCGCCATCTCCAAAGCGCAGAGCACAGCCATCACCGCGAAACATCACTTCTCTCCTATCATCCACCCTGTTCGTCCTTGATCTGTACGATGTGCACTCTGTCATTGCTGCGCAGGTGCTATCGCAGCTCATTTACTGGCTTTCCGCCGAAGTCTTTAACCGCATAATGTCGAACCGGAAGTATCTTGCACGGACAAAAGCTATGCAAATACGCATGAACGTCTCGACGCTCGAAGACTGGGCTCGTTCCAACAACCGGCAACCCGAACATTACGAGAACGGCTCCATGACTTCTACCGGCGAGAACACCGCGGACGCTGCTAAACGGCATCTCGAGCCTCTGGTGCAACTTCTGCAATGGCTTCAATGCTTCTCTTCACTCGGAGAAGACCTAGAGTCGCTCGTGGGTACTCTACAACAGCTAACACGTCTGTCGCCCCAACAGCTACTACACACCGCGAAATATTACCGCCCCGAAGTGGGCGAGAAAGGCCTTCCGAAAAGCGCTTCCAAGTACATTTTACATCTTCAAAAAGCTGCCGCTGATCGTAAAGCCGCACGCACAAAGTCGCCAAATCCGCCGCCAGCATCGGAATCCGTACCAACCACGCCTGTCAGACCTACTTCCGATAAACCTGTCGAACCATCCCCTGCGCCTTCGCGCATGTCGGAAGAAGACGAGAAGGACGAGCCACCGGACGAGCTGCTCTTAGACCCGTCGTACATGCTGCCATTTTCACTTCCAACGTCAACGGACATGCTCATCACCTACGGTGCTGGATTCGGAGGTGTCAACAAAGAACGAGAACGGAAATACATTCCCACCGTACCCCCCGAGTTTATGGCCAAGTTGGACTTGAATGGAGGCAACAACAAAAATGGAAGCTCCTACTATTCTGAGACGCAGTGGAACGATCCGAGCTATGGGTGAAGATGAAGATCGGCAGTATTGAGAGCCCTGCTAATTGAGACTTTGATAGTCGCATCCACACTGCTTGGTTGAGACGAAGACCGGATTCTTTCAAGTTCCGTTCTACAACATCTCGTTGCTGCTGACCGTCGCGTTCTTTGTTGCATTGCCGCATATGACTTGGATACACACGTTACACCTGGTCCGACAAACGGTCCAAAGAGGAATACTCTATCAATTACCCTACGGCACGCAAACCAGATCTGAGGATGCAGGCATACTGTTTCGGCTGCAACCGCAAGAACGATGCTGATTCCGTTGGGGGATGAAGGGTGCAACAGCACCCAAGTTGGATATTACCATAGTATCAGGGTATGCATAGATCTGTTTACCATTACTTCAATCTTTTGTGTCAACTACGGACACATCAATTTTTCCCTATCGTGCGTCCCGCCGGGCAAACAGCGCGCTTACTGTAGCATCGGCCCATCTCACAGCGAGAGGAGTCAAATACTTTACAAACAATACATGGAATGACTGTCGATAATGAGAGTCTTATGTAAGGTAGCTATCTAGTTATCGGTATCACTCCGTGATCGGCCCGTCAATATCCATCGAGTCGGCGGAGGCATCGGCGGATTCCGATAGCAGCAGCAGCTGTTGGCACGCAGGGTCTAGCTACCCCACCACTCCACCACCCCGCCATAACTTCTTGGTAGTCAGCCAAATCCCAAAACAAACTTCCTACTTTTCTCTCTCTTCAGCATACTGCATTTATCTTCTTATTCTTCTTGCATATCATACTCTCAAAATGGAGATTCGCACCATTTCACCAGAAGATGTCAAAAGCGTAGCCACAAACACTGCGCAATCGATACCAATTGATGAGATCGATAGTACTTTCAAGTCCCAATACACTGGTGAGAAGCTCATAACCCTCGCATTGCGAAAGAAGATCTAACAAGCATTAAGATCTCATATCTGCACCACTTGGCTCCAAAGTCCTCTCTTTCAGTGATGAATACTTCGCTGCAGCCGAGAATCTCATAACGCCGACTCCAGCAGTCCGTAAACCTGGTGTCTTCGTACATACGGGAGCTTGGTATGACGGTTGGGAAACCCGACGTCACAACACCGAACCTGCCGACTGGGTGGTACTGAGACTGGGTACCGCCAGCGGAAAAGTAGCAGGTGTAGAAATCGACACGGCACACTTCAACGGAAACCATGCACCAGAAATTGCCGTCGAGGGTGCTTTTATCACGGACGAGAAAGAGGAAGAAGAGGTGAAGAAGCCAAGCTACCAGGGTTGGGAGACAATTCTGTCAAAGCAGGAGTGTGGACCTAGCCAACGGCACGGATGGAAGCTGGCAAACATTACGGAAAAAGCGTACACCCACGTCCGGCTCCTCATGTACCCCGACGGTGGCATTGCGCGTTTCCGCCTCTACGGTGTCGCCGTGCCCGTGTTCCCCCAATCCGCAGATGCCATCTTCGAGCTCTCAGCAACAGTCATGGGAGGTGTCGCAACATCATGCTCTGACCAACATTTCGGCACAAAAGACAATCTCCTCCTCCCCGGTCGCGGAAAAGACATGGGCGACGGCTGGGAAACGAAGCGCACGCGTGGCGAACACGTCGACTGGACGATTGTCAGACTAGGCGCAAAGGGCGAGATCGACCACGTTGTTGTCGACACTGCGCACTTTAGGGGTAACTTCCCGCAAAAGGTGCAGGTCTTTGCTGGAAGCTTTGAGAAGGATCCGGCTCATGATGATAAGGAGTGGGTTGAGGTTTTGGAGCCGCAAAAGACGGGTCCGGATAAGGAGCATGAGTATAAGGCTGAGCTGAAGGAGGTGGCTGGCAGGGGCTACACGCATGCGAAGTTGGTGATTATCCCGGATGGAGGTGTGAAGCGGTTCCGAGTTTTCGGAAAGAGGGTGTAAGGGTCCAGATTGTAGGACTGTGGCTAGATGAATCAAGATCAAACAAACTCATTGAAGCTATTCGAGTGCGTTTTCTGTATAGTTGACGCATCAAAGCCGGCATTGCTTTGAACTGCGGACGTCTAGGTACCGCGGTCCTTCTCGGCCTTGAGTACTTAACAATGTGTTTACCAATGCAACTTTCTTACGACTGTCGCATGATACTGACGCCACTGCGTGCCATTGAAGGTTCGATGATGACCGATGGCCGAGGTTACTTAAGTAGGTTTGACATGTCTTGGCGCCTTGGTAAGGCGTACACGTAGGTCAGGCGCATCTCCAACCGCAACCACATCAACTTCCAAGACCACCGTCGCTTCCATTTCTCGATATTTACGAATTGATTGCCCAGTATGGAAAATGAGTACGCTTTCAATATGGAGAAGGTGTCGCCGATATGGATAATCACGGCACTTTGTGTAGTGCCTTTCGGCATGTATCAACTTCTCAATCTTCTTAGCCCGTTGATGCAGCGGTTGACGGCTATGAAGATCTCAGCGGTATGTTGGATGATTATGAGATGACAGAGATCGTGTGCTGATGAAAGTACTGGTAGATATACATCTACCCCATCAAGTCGCTGCGAGCCGTCAAGGTCACCGAAGCCGTTGCCACCGCTCATGGTTTCAAGCACGACCGTACGCTTCGCACATCCTCTTTACACTGGCACAATGTTAACATCACCCAGGCTCCTTCATGCTCCTCCAAAAAACCGAAGAAGGCTACAAAAACATGGCCGTAGCCAAATACCCAGAAATGACGCAATTCCTCCAAGAAATGACCAGCGACACCATCACTGTAAAACACATCGCGTACGGCGACTCATCAAAAGCAACATCAATCCAGATACCTCTAGAACCGGATACAGAAAAGCTATCTCCCATCAACATCGACATGCACTCCAGCCCCACGTCCGCCTTCCTAATGCCCCAAAAGTACAGCGACTGGTTCACATCCTGTTTCGGCTACCCAGTCATCTTCGTCTACTTAGGAGCCAATCGACGCACCGTCCAATTCCAAGACATGCAACCCGCTGCACCCTCGCCACTAACCCGTTTTCTCTCCAAATACGTCCCGTTCACTGCTTCCTACGTCGAGAAAGCAATGGGTCTGCACAAGCCCTCAGCAGCCGAATCCTGGAAGATCACTTTCGCAGACTGCGCCCCGTATCTCTTCTGTTCGCAAACAAGTCTCGATGATGTTTCCTCCCGACTACCAGAAGGTATGAGCATGGATATCGAAAAGTTCCGTCCTAATATCGTAGTCGAGGGCGCGTATGAACCGTACGAAGAAGATTACTGGGGTAAAGTCACAGTAAACGGCGGCACGGAGATCTTGCTTCCGCATAACTGTGTGAGGTGCAAGAGTATTAATATTGACTACAAGACGGGGAAACCGGGGGAGGGGCCAAGTGGAGAGGTGCTGAAAAGGTTGCAGAAGGATCGCAGGATTGATGTTGGGGCGAAGTGGAGTCCGGTGTTTGGAAGGTATGGGTTTTGGGGGAAGGGCAGGGAGGAGGTGTGGAGGGTGGGGGATCGGGTTAATGTTGCCAAGGTTAATGATGGGCCGACTGTTTGGAGTAAGTTTATGGGTGTGAGATTCGATATAAGGATTTGGAAACTGACTGTGCACAGGTTGGCCTGGTGTGGGATAGAATTGGGAAAGTCCGCTTGTAGCGGGTGTACTAACCAAACATTACGTTAACGATACGTTGGCCTTACTGATGATAAAGTCCTAATCGCATATCCTTCCTACGATTTCGTGTGGTTCCGCCCACCTGTAACTCCGCCCCATGCAATTTTCCTAGCCTCTCGCTTCTTCTTCTCATCCCTTTCAACCTTATTCCACTTACGCTCTTTCTCATCCATGGTCGCCGCCGAAAGATCAAGCTCGTCACCACTATACAGCCAAGGATGGAAATACTCATGAGTAGTCCAGTCATAAAAGTCGGGAATATACTGGTAGACTGCTGGACACTGTTAGAACAAAACGTTGACCACGAAATCTTGATCGGGAGGAGAACTTACACAATATACCCATCTCTTTCATAAACTCCCGCGACGCCATTTTAGCGGCATTTCCAGGGTAGCAGTGATACAAGCTCACTTTTGCCAGGTTGGGAAACAGCGTTGTCTTTGCCCTGGCTACGTGCTTCACCCACCTTTCTGCCTCTCTACCGAGACAGTCGGTCAAGATAAGCCGTTCGAGTTTTGACGGCACGACTTCTTTGTAGTACGCATATACCACGTTATCACTCGGCAGCACGAGCGTGCGCAACGCGGGAAAGTACTTCGGGATACCATACACAGAGCCTCGATAGTCAGATCTGCCGGAAGGCGACGTGCGGAAGTCGTTGGGCAATTCGAGTACGGTGAGTTTGTGGCTGAAGAGAGGGAGGAGAGGCCCTAGATCAGGCGTGTGGGCTGGAAAGAGGCTGCTATGGTAGAGCAGGGGTTGGAGAAAAGGGAAGTTGTACAGTACCGAGCCCCCGAGATACAGTTCCTGTAGATTGGGTAGCATAGTCATGACGAGGCTGAGGAGGATGCTGGGCCCGTCGTATTCGTTTCCGGCGTGCAGGGAGTCGGTGAAATGCTGTTTCGTCAGAGGATCGATGGCTAATGTGCTGATGTGGCTTATGGCTTTGGCTAGTAACGAAGGCTCGAGTGCTGGGATAGTGTTCGGTCCTATGCACATCCCACGGATTTTCGTTTCGATAGTCAGGCTGCGGATCTTGTGTCGCAGGTCTGGGTACTGGAAGAGTGAAGCGAGGAAGTGGTCGACCTTACTTGAGTACAGTATTGGTGCGCAAAAGAGAACCTCTCGGGCAAGTGGCGCCAGTTGCTTGCACGTCGAGAGCGCATTCAGTAAGTCGGCTTGGGGATTGGGGTGCTTGACACTTTTGGGAAGGTAGTGCAAAATCTGGAGAAGGACCTCGTCTGGGAGGTCGGAGAGTTGGCTTGCCATGCTGGAGGAGAATGTTGACTGAAAACGCGTACCGAACAAGAGTTCTTAGTCGTTATGGATGGTAGAAGAGCAAAGGAACGACACTGTTTCTCTCGATGCAATGTGAGTGATCGAAATCGTTTGTACACAAATGCTACAACGCTGTAAAGTAGCAAATGTTGGGAACCATGGTTGAGATGCATTGAAACCAAGGTTTACAATCGACATGTGCCAATGAACAAAGGCTATTGCATAGTAAACAGGTTCTATAAACTAATGAGGGCTATAGCCAAGAGCATTTTTAAGAAAAATTAACCTTCGTAAGCATATATGCTACCGGGTGTAGCTAGGATTTGTAGCATACGTCCCATCAAATTCCGATAAATACATAATTCCAAGAGTAATGTATACCTCCACCTCGAGGACCTCTTTCATATGATGCCACATTGATGGTAGCTACCTCTAGTAATGCTATCAAAGGCATTGAGAAGCTATCAGCTTTCACTCAAGCATCAAGCTTTCGACACAGAAAACCACAAGGTATAATAACACCTTTTATTACGTTCTCTTCCCACCATCAACTACATGTGATATGATGATATAGATTTGACAATAGTAATAACGCAAACAAATTGCCTGTTCCCAGCCTTTGACAAACGCCATGCTCTTGCGCGCATGTCCTTCTAATGTGATGACGAATATCCCAACCCAGAGAACGAAGAGGCCATGAACAGCCAACCTCGACTGAAAGTGCGTACTAATGTTTGTTCTGCCTGTATGATTTGTAAAGAACACCTTTTGTTCGAACGCCGTGGCAATGTGGTAGCGATAAGGATGGAGACGCGGCTGTGAAACGGAAGTCGTAACTGTATGTACAGATGTTCAGAGAAGGCATGTTCACCATGTTTCCTGCGTGTTCGTTAGTATGTGTAAGGTAGGCACGATTGGAAACTGTACTTACGGCAATGTATTGTCCGTCCTCCTTCTTTCGGGCCCAGAACTCCTTCGCTTGCGCTTCGCTCAGGCGGCCCTTTTGCATCGCGACATCGATCAGAGACTCTTCGACACCTTCGCCCATGCCCTTACTAGAGCCACAGACAAAGATACGGCCGTCGAGAGCATTGATGACGAACCAGACGATATCAGCCTGTACTCGCACCTCGTCTTGGACGTATTTGACCTCGTTGGAGCCCCCCACCTTGACCTTCCGGCTCTGGACGACCTTTTTGATTTCACGCTCATGGTCGCCTAGTTCGCCCGAGTAGAGCTCATCGAGCATGGAGTCTCGGACACCCTGGATGAGCCAGATCTTGTTGGCGCAGTTGGCGTTCTTGAGGCGGTTCAGGATGAAACCACGGAAAGGAGCCATGCCAACTCCCGCTCCGATGAGCACCATGGGGCCTTCACCACCAAATTGCTTTGACAGAGGGTTCGCCATGAGTCCGCGGAACATGGGGATGCGCAGATCGAGGATGCTGCGGGGATCGACACCTTCATTCTCGGCTGTGATGAAAGCGTGTGCCATGCGCTCCATGAAGCCACTGCCCACACCAGTACGTGTAGCACCCTCAGCATGCCAATCGGGTGTCTCGTGAATTGTGACGGCCATCTCGATGAGACGGCGAGTACCGGGTAGGCCAGGGCGCGCCGACGAGATGTGGGGATCGTTCGAGAGGGAGTAGAATCGAGGCATCAGCTGGGTGAGGACAGAGAGGAGGTGCGGTAGCGGCGGCTTCGACGAAGGGAATGCGCTAAGCATCTGTGAGACTGTGAAGTGAGAAGTAGTACGGAGGTCGCAGAAGGCTGCTTGTCCTTGGGCTGAGCAGAGGTATGTCAGGATCTTCTTCTCGTTGGGGGCTTCGGCATACTCGGCGAGCACGCGCAGGAGGTTCTTGGTGGGCGGGTGCGACTGGATGTCGGCACACCAGGTCAGCAGTTCGCGTCTGGTTGTGACAAGCTCGCGCGCTTGGTCTTCGCCCCAGATGGTCGGCCATCTTCCCGTCTGGGTCTTGAGTGTGACTGGCTTGTCGCGGACAAACTTGGGGATACAGAGGAGATCGAACAGCTCATCGACCATTTCCTGCGAGTTGGGAGGGCAGATGCCAACGGCACCACCAACCTTGAAGTCGACGCCTCCCTCGTCGGGGTAGTCGGTAACGTCGATGTCGAAGTGGATGGTTCTCTTCTCAGCGCCCGGCTTGGTCAACTCGCGTGCGTGGTAGAGCGGCGCCGAGTAGACCTCGTAGGGCGGGTGTGGCTGAACGTACTTGGGCGGCGTCTTGTGCACCTGCGAGACGTACTTGGTGTCCTTGGACGGCAGAGGCTCGAAGGACATGTTGGCGGGAGGGAGCGGAATCGTGTCCGTGAGCTCGCTGTCGAGAGCGAGTGGGCCCAGTTGCAGATTGAGGCTCCGGAAGGCATGGTTGTCGGGCACGACGACGGGTATGAAGTTGGGCGACGATGCGTCTGGGGCCAGTGTCTTAAGCAGACAGCATCCTCCACCGCAGCACTGGCTGATGAGCTTGGTGGCTGTCTCACCCTCGCCCAGTATCCGTCTGATGTCGTTTGGGTTGTCCGAAATGAGCGTGGTAGATGCGCGGCGAGGACGCGTCTGCCCAGAGAAATTGACAGCCGAGGTAGGCAATTCCTGTAGTTTATCGACTACTTCCTCAACACCCTGATCGGGCTCCGTCATGGGCGTCATGGGCGCCTCAGACTCATCGCTGCTTGTAGTCCATAGTGTGGATTCGCCCGACGACTTTGGTGAGGTCTGCTCCGGCTGCGACTGCTGTGCCGGCGAGGGCCGGAGCGAGAGCTGTGGGATATCCTTTGGCTCGGCAGGAATTGGGTCGTCAGGGTGGGAGGTCGCCGTGGTAGGGATGGGGCTGGGCATGGTGGCTGTCGAGGTTGCCATGTGCCTGCGTGGAGTGAGGTGAAGGAGCGATGGGCGTGCTGCCGGGGACGCGACAAAGGGGACTGCTAGCGCGGACCATGATTAGCAAGAGCTGACTTGGTATGGCCATAGGGAATTCAATGCAACAGCAAGGCGCGGTGCAGGTGTGCATGGCGCGCTTGCTTGTTGAACCGCGGACGACGGAGATGTGCGACCGCAGAGCATGTGGGGGACGGTGGTGGTTATCTGATGCTTTGATGCAACCGAATTTCTTATCAGATCGTGGCATCACTCACCTCGACTGGCTGGCAAACGAACACGACCGAGTGGCAGCCGCGTGCGAATTCCCGAGATCGGTGACACGATGGACAGTGACTGTGAAATAATTCGTATTGGGCGGATTCTAGCCGTGGCAGAGGGTGTGGGCATGAGGTGAGGCCTGGTGGTGATGGACAAATGTTCGACAGAGGCCGCGCCCGGACGCTTTTCCTACTGCCGATCAACGACGCCTTCAAGGCTGAGATGAGCATCCCGAACGCACACTTCTGCCGAATGACGCTTGCCTGCGCCCCATCGCCGAAACCGCTCGTATTCCCACTTGTCGTGTCCTACTTTATCCGACATAGACCTAGATCAAACCATCTTGCGACCATCTTGACTGCGCCCACCGCATCAGCCCAATCTCCTGATCATGGTGCTCACCGAACGCGTTATATTACACCACCAGCCTTCACCGCAACCACTATGAGCTGAAGCGCAGGCCTTCTCGGCACATAGTCGCGCAAATTCTGTAACATGCCATTGTCACGCCGCCCGGTCCTCGGTCTCTCGGCGGTTATCGCATCTGATAACCAAACTTCGGCTCAGAGCCCGACCCCGCGAGCTACCTATCGTGACTCCGGCCGCTGCTCCTCTCTGAAGACACTAATCCTGCCATGTTTCCCCTCATCTTGAGTGCATCCAGTACCTTCGCGAAAATGTCGCGATCGGGGTATTGCAGCGCTATTACGTCGTTGCAACGCCACACGAAAACCTACCGCACCAAGACTTGCGTTCGCCCAATGTCAGGATATGCCTGATACTTACACCCGTATTCTAATCTAGACTGCCTCTAAACATGTCATACTACGCCACGGCAAGGCTGACAGACCATCGCCCACCACCGCGAACGCGCGCAGGGTCCGCGTCACTATCGTGTTCCGCCATGGTGGAAGAACGTTGAAAACGCTCTCTTAGCGGCCCCACACGCCTCGAGTCTCAATTGCAGATCTATGATGCTACTGTCACGACCCTGAATTCGGGCACTGTCCCATTCGTCACTCTGATGTGGAGGTTTGTGAGATCACTGAGAATCCTTCTTACCGCTTGTAGTAATACGTGACTAACTCAGCTGCATTATGACGAAAACCCATACACCACCCAGAAAGCAAAGTCGCGATGGAACATCACGGTGAGTTCATGATCGATTCACACTGGGCAGCATATGTCTCTCCGATACCGATGAATGGAACTGATAAATGCGCAGCTTGTCTAGCAGCCTGCTTGAACTTCTCCCCACTTTCCGAACTTCGGAATTTCCAAGATCTGGTTGGTATATGCAGGTTAGCTGGCGATGCGATATGCTTGTTGATTACCCACCTCAGTCCGAGTACGAAGTCAACTGTATAACACAGCTCAAAAAGAACAATATTCCCTCGTACAGCGAACCTTGGGTAGAATGATCCTTCCGTAACAAGGAATTGTGGTTCTGCAGCGACCGTGGTCGGGGATTGCTGCTTGCGCTATGTATGTGCTGATTGCGTTTAGCTACCGAACCATTGGGTCAACCAACTTGTGTGTTGACTCATATCCACTCGTTCGAGAACTGTGCATAGCCATCAAATTCTGGATCAGATGCATGGTTGATTGCGATCACTAATATTCAAGCAGCCCGTCATTAGGCAACCTACTCTCAGTACACCAACTACTTCCTTCGCCCACACTCCTAGGTCACCCAACTTAGGTCTTTCGCGCAACACCATTCCAATTTCCAAGGGGCGGTGCGACCGCATATGTGTATCTACTATGACGTTTACCGATGAGCGATGCAAGGAGATCTATATAGAGCTACGAGATCTGTCAAGGACTGGTTACAAGAATCCAGACGGCAGCCCGCGCCTACACAAAGACCCTTCAATCGAAACCAAGGTTCAAGCGCGCATGGAAGCTCTGCTCCCAGATCATGTAAGAATATCCGTCTGAACTGCTTGTGATGAATGCGCTAACTTCGTATGCTATGATTCAGGACAGCCTAGAGAAGTACAAAGCCTGGTGTCGTGAGCGGACCAAGCTCAGTCGACAGCTTCCAGAACCTGCAAGCGCCGACGAGATCATCAAGGCCATAAGAGAAGTGGACTTACTCGACCCAATTTCACGCGGAAACCTATGCGACCTACTCGGGACCGACTTGTACTCTCATATCGACATTGGAACGTATGGCAAGTACCACTACTGTCTGAGGCCAGACCTGTTCCAGTTGAGGCCGGAAGATCACGACATTGATTGGAACGACGCACGCGAGCCGATGCCTAATTGTATCCTTGGTATCAACCTGTCGAAGACAGTTCCGTGGACGGGAGACAGACGTAAGGAGCACAGCTCGGACGAGTCTAGTACCAGCAACATCTCCACTGGTAACGATGGCACCGGGTTCGTATTCATGCAACTAGGCAGAGTGTGCTACCTCGATGACTCCAGAAGGCAGAAGTACCACGACGACGGCAAGTTCCCCATACAGATGCCCTGGTTGGACTCCGGCTTCGTTCTCGTTGTAGTAGTCCGAGACGACGGAAGTGCGGGAGCCCCGTGGCTGCTATTCAACTTCATGCCAGTACACGAACTGGAGGGCTCCAGGTTCCGCATCCCGCAGACTGACGACGAGTGGGGGACGCTTCCAGGCTCTGGTCACCAGTACGTTGCCTTACAGATTGGAGATCGAATTAGCGAGCTCCGATTTGACAAGCAATGGGTCATGACGAGCCGGTTTGGTGAAGACTACAGCCCCCAGCTTGTCGCCGTGGTAAATACGTCATCTACCTCAAGAGGACAGCTCGTGCGACAAAAGATCTTTGAGAATAGTCGTTGAGGTGGCTAGAGGGTGCAGACTGATGGATGATTGAGTTGCACTTTAAGGTGGCGGCGGTGAAACGGCGAACGGGATGCCTAGGTATCTTCATGCCGGAACACCCACCATGTTTCCGAGTTTCCAAGGTCTAGTTGGGGATGCGCAGGATGCACGCCAACTGTTGGAGTCCACCGTGGTCAAATAATCATTGCATTCAAGTTCGATGCAGTAGCAGTCGTACCAAGTCCAGACGTTTTGGAAAGCCGTGGGTCTGATCTTTAGAATGAGGCTATTACATGGGTAGGTATCACTACGCGAAACATACACCAGCTGGACAGGCCAAGTCCACCTTCACGAGCATGGAATCGCAGTACAAACACATTGAGTGTAACTATTTGAAGCGAAAAAACTGATGTCTTTTCCAATCTGGAAAGGGTTCAGAGTTTGGATCATAGACGATGTGACTCACTGATGGTACCATGGTTCACCCGCAGAGCTCAAAGTTGCCTTTCCACACCGCAAGATTGAAATTGACATCTCTTTCCCTCTTTCCTTCACTCAAGATTAAACAAACAAACGAAAAGATACCATGTCATCCCTAACCGACGCCGATTGCGAGAAGATCTTCGCAGAACTCATGGCCAGCGCCATGTCGCAAGCTGGCTATCCCAGCCCCAACGACGGCAGCTCTTCCCACCAGCCCCGAGGCATGGAACAACTCCTTCCCGACATAGCAAGTATAGACAGATATCACGAATGGCGACTCAAGCAAACGAATCAAGAGGCAGAGGAAGCAGAACGCATCCGCCAAAACCAACCACGTCCAACCGCCGCCGACCTCATCAAAGCGGTCCAAGAAACCGACTTCTATGATGGAGAATCGCGCGAAGCCGTTTATGACATACTGAATTGCATAGACAAGGGCGCGCTCGAATGGGGAATGCATTGCGACTACCACTTCGGCCTAGTACCCGATGGGTATGTCAAACTGATATACGAGGATGAAGACGTGGACTGGGACGATCAACGCGAGTGGCCGGAATTCGGAGATATACTTGGTATCAATATGTGGAAGAGAGCATCCGATACCGAGACCGCAGGAGCCCAGCCTAAGGAAATTGAACCAGATCAATCTGGACTCACAAACGAGTCTAGAGGCAACGACGCCACGGGCTTTGTGTTTATGCAGCTGGGCCGGGTGTTCTGTCTTAAAGACTGTGACTTGGAAAGTAACAAACAAAGGGCTAGAAGAAACGAATGGCAGAGATCCTGGTCTGACTCTAACTTCATCCTCGTCGTCGCTATCGAGGAGAATGGAAGAGCAGGCGCGCCGTGGTTGGTGTGTAACTTCAATCCAGAAAATGATATTGAAGGCGGTCGCACCAAGATGCCGCAATCAAAACGGTTTTGGGGCACTACTTTGGGAGACGGTGTTCAGTACAAAGCTCTCAAGATTGCGGACGATATTGAGGAGCTCAAACAAGGGAAGGCATGGGATGTTACGATGAAGTTTGGCAGCGAGTCTGACATACAAATCGTACCCGCCGTCTTTGATGGAGAGGGGAAAGAGAAGAGGCTCCTGCGACACAAGGTTCGCAAGGAAGAGCTTACGGAATGGGTTGAGGTCTAACATCCTACGCGATATGCAGTCATGCACGTACCCTGGCTCACGATCGATCTCCTACACCAACAAACAACAATACGCTTATCATTAAGACTACACAGCCTTCCCATCTAATACTTCCCACTCTCCCTAACCAACCCCTCCTTCTCATTCTCCCCCTTCCCCCTCAACGCCCACTCAGGCGCCTCATCAACCTCATCCTCCTCCGCCTTATCCCCCTCCTCCTTAGTCTTATGCACACTACTCGGCAAATGCTCCGCAGGCGCATACACCGTAATCAACTCCAAGGGCTGATCCCCCTTAGTAACAAACTGATGTTGCGTGCCAGCCGGCACAACAACAACATCACCAGCTTTAACCTCCTGGTCCTTGCCATTCACCGTCGCTAGCCCCTTTCCGGATGTGAAAAGCAGGATCTGGTCGACGAGATGGACTTCGTCGCCGATCTCGCCGTTGACGGGGACTTCCATGGCGACGATTTGCGAGTAGAGGCCTGTGTGTAGGACGGTGCGGAAGTCGCCGAAACTGCGTTTTTCGGACATGAGGCCGGGGAAATGCACCATTTCGTGTTTGGGGGGTGCGTTCTCGCGGTTTCCGACTTTCTTCAAGGCGTCCATTTTGGCGGCGTAGAGGCGAGGGGTGGATGTGCTGAAGGATTTGGTGATGGGGACTGGACTTCGCTTTGTGAGTGTGGATGTGGAGAGGCGGAGAAGACGGGTTGTGGTGTTGAGCATTAGGGAGGAATTGGTTTGGGATGGATGGGCTTTGGGGTCGAGTGAGATGGGGATTATATGGCACGTTGCTTTTGCATCACGGTATACATCGCGTCAGCGCGCGTTAGGTGTGGAGGGTCTAGACTGCATGGTATGCATGACGTCACCATCGCGTTACCTCACGATGTACGGGGAGATTGCCTCGTTCGGTACGCTAGTGTGTTCAGTAGAGCCTTGATTGGTAGCCTCTCCTGTATCAGGGTGTGGTGCGTGCTATGAGTGGTGTCGTACCTGATTATGTGATGACATGGCGATGCAGGGTGCGATCAGGGTGCTAAAGGAGCTAGTGAAGCGTCCCGACATGTTTTGCAGAGTGTAGAGTGATATTGAGAGGAGAATGATTGTTTGATTGTAGTTGCAAGCCTCACATGCTTGGGTAGTCAGAACGTGAACTATATCCTAGGCTATGGCAATGTAGGAGCTTGATCGTATAAGTTCTTATGTGATCAAATCGCACCACTCCAATAGCGCCATGCGAGAGGGCGATCTCTCTGATCTCCCTGCGGAGCGCATTCTGCTTTTGGAATGCGTGGTTTGGCCCAAGCGTGCAGCAACCCTGGTGCTATGTGGAGGTTCATTGTTGGTGGCGGGCTTGCCCACCGTTGCTTCCATGAAGAAGCAGGAGAGTCGCGCAAAATCGCCACGACTGCCATTGGATATGATACAAATAAAGATGCAGCTTCACTAGACACGGTTGCGGCCAGCAGCTTCTTCCTTCTCCTCATCAAGCTCTCGCTCGATTTCCTCTTCTTCCGTAGGCTTTGGGGCCTTGACGTCCTTAGCAGGCACGTCACCACCGCTCATCTGCCATTCCATGAGTTTGTTGAATGCACCCTCTGGGTTCGAGCTGAGCTGTTCGTAGGTGCCTTCCTCGGCTACCCTACCTTCAGAGTCGATGCAGATAATACGGTCGGACCGTTTGATCGTTGATAGACGATGGGCGATGCTAATAGTTGTGTTGTTTTCTTGGAGAAGCTTGTTTAGCGCTTGGTTCACAAGAGTTTCAGACTCGGCGTCCAGGGCACTCGTGGCTTCGTCGAGGATAAGGATGTCGGGCTTCTTGATGAGTGCTCGTGCGATGGCAATACGTTGCTTCTGACCTCCGGAGAGTTGAGTTCCTCTTGCACCAGCGTGTGTTTCAAGGCCATCAGGCTGTGCTTGTTAGCGGGGCTTTCATATGATAGGGGGTTGTACGTACGAAATCGCTGATGAACTGGCAGTTGGCCTTGCGGGCAGCAGCCACGATCTCAGCACGTGTAGCGTTGGGTACGCCATATGCGATGTTCTCTGCGATTGTGCCAGAGAAGAGTACAGGCTCTTGGCCGACGTAGCCAATCTTCCTCCTCAATTGCTTTGCGTTCAAGGTGGTGATGTCTCGGCCGTCGATGGTCACGGTTCCGGAGTTGGGGACGTAGAAACGTAGAAGGAGACTAGCGACTGTAGACTTGCCAGCTCCACTGGGTGCAACGATGGCCACATTAGTACCCTGCTCAATCCTGAAGCTGAGGTCCTTGAAGATGGTTACCGCTGGTCTGGTCGGGTAGCTGAAGTTGACGTTCTTGAATTCGATGGGGCCACGCGCCGACTTGACTGGCAGACCCTTGGTGGGCGATATTGTTGGGTTGCGATCCTGGAGTTCGAAGAGACGACTGGCAGCTCCAACGCCCTTCATCATCTCGCCGTAGAAGCCGGAAAGACCAACCATACTAGAACCAGCATAGACGGTGTACATCAAGAACGAGGACAGTTCACCGATAGAGATGACGCCGTTCTTGACCATGTTACTACCAACGTATAGGATGGAGATGATGGTCAGGTTGCCCATTAGTCCAGTACTTCCGTAAAAGCTCGCGGCAACAACCGCTTCCTTCTTTCCTAAAGCGAATATCCTCTTGATCTGCCGGTTGTATCGTGATGCTTCTTGAACCTCTCCAGCGAAGGCTTGACTTGTTCTGACGTTCCCTAGCCGCTCTTCGGCGATCTTGGTCAATGTTCCCAAGTTCTTCTGGATTTTGCGACTGAGGTTTCGTAGCGACCGACCGGAGAAGAAGGCGACGAGGGCGACAGGCGGGGCGATCAGTGCGAGAATACCGGTAAGCTTCAGACTGACGAAACCCATCATGGCGAAACCAGCTGCACCGCTGACGAGCGCACGTAGACCGTCCGACAAGTTTTGTGTGATGCTCTTTCCAACGATGATGGTATCCGAACCCAGACGGGAGATGAGATCTCCAACCCTGTTGGCGTCGAAGAATTCGGCGTTTTGGACGAAGGTCTTGCGGTAGAGCTGCGATCGAAGACGTGCGACGATACGCTCTCCGACGATTCGAAGGATGATGATACGCCCAAAGTTGAACGCAGCGCCGGTCGTCAAGACACCTGCTAGTCCGAAGTAGAAGATAGATGGAGACACGCCAAAGAGTAGACCATTGGTGTTCTCAGTCGAGGTAGCGGCGTCCAAGATCTTGCCAATTGAGAAGGGTACCGAGAGAGAAATGCCAGAACCGAGGAGTAAGAACAGGAAGGCCCAGGAGAGTACGCCCAGCTCAGGTCGGGCAATTTTGATCAGTCTCCAGATCTCCTTCATGCCGCCTGGTGCGCCCGAAGAGCCAGACCCGTCTTTG